TTAGTCTTATTTTGAAAGTCTATCATGGATGTGTGTCAAGGGAAGGGTCATGCCCAGCAGTGATATAGAATCCATTTCTAAATATGAAATCACTGGTTTTCCATGTTATTGGGTGAATAGATGCTGTATTAGAGCGTAAATGGGAGACTTTTATTGTGAAATTTGCTCTGGGGTATGTTTTGAAAAGGTCCCTAGAGTCTAATAGAAACGAGCTGGTAGAGTTGGGGTCATAATGCTGAGCCATTTGCATCAATTAATAGACAGGTATAATATAGAGGCTTTTATTGTGTAGGGTCACTGGAGCAGGGTTGTGTGCTGAGAAAAGGGTGAGACTCAGCAGTGATACTTGATGACTTTCCAATCGTTAAATCACTCTTTTCCCCTGTTATTAGGGCAGTAGATTAATTGGCAAAGGGAGGCTTTTATTTTGAAATTTGCTGTGGGGTGTGTTTTGAAATCCCCCTAGAGTCTAATTTTAAAAAAGTGTTTGAGTTTGGGTCATATTGTTGCGCCATATGCTGCAAAAAAATAAGAGAATAATAAAGAGGCTTTTATTTTGTAGGGTCCCCGGAGTCTTATTTTGAAAGTCTATCAGGGTTGCATGTGAAGGGAAGGGTCATGGCCAGTAGTCATATTGTATCCATTTCCAAATGTTAAATCAGTGTTGTCTCCCTCCATTAGATTAAAATGTGCTGTTTAAAGTGGCAGAGGTAAAATCTCTTTGAAGCTCGGTTACCTTGACAACGCTTAACGAGCCTGTCAGTGAAAGAGAGAAACGCGCTTCACTTTCGTTCCTTTCCTCTCAGGCTTTTTTGAATGGGAATATCAGCTCCGAACAAACGAGTGCTGAAGACAAACCGTAAATGGTATCTAAAAAAGTCTTTCAGTCTAAGCGACAGCTATCCTTTGTCTCCAATTGGGGTCACGTTCATGGATGTAGCTCATTCACAGCCTTAATGGGAAGGAGAAATATAAAGGTTTGTAAATCCTGCTGGTCTCATTAAATAACATGCAGCTCAATGGTAGAGCAGAACTCTCAAAAGCAAAACTTTCCCTGCGAACAAACGAGCGGTGAGCCAAAACCGTAAAAGGTATTCAAAAAATTCTTTCACTGTTGGCGTCAGCCATCTTTTGGCTTCGACTGTGCCAACTTTTATGTTTCTACTAAAAACTATTTGGCCACGGTGACGATGTAAATATTTGCATTTTCTGAGTTTGAGGATTTTTCTCAGAATCAGCGTTTTCCTATGCCCGAACAAGTCAGCTAAACAGCTAAACCATAAATGATATTGAAGAAATTCCTTCAATGTGAGTGCTAGAAGGTTCTGAAGATGTTGTATACCAAGTTTCATGTTAGTACATCAAATAGTTAATAAATGGGAGCGATACGAAAATATGTATCGTTTTGGATTTTGTCTGTGATTTTTGGAAAATCTCTCATTGGATTTCTATTGGGGAAGTGTGGACTTCTTCATGGTCTGGGCCAAACTGTCGGAAAACCGTAAATGCCACACAAATGAGGGTTATATTTCCTGAATCCTGACAAAAATCCCTACGTTTTGATGTATAATTTATTTCAATTGAGTTAAAAATGAGGGACTGAGAAGAATTTGTTCGGAAAAACCAGAACAGCTCAAAAGCTAGAGCACGCACTCTAGCAGTTGAAGAATTCCGTCCATAGACTTCCATTATAAATCTGAAAATCTTAAAATTTTCTTTTAAAGTTTGAAGCTTCACTGAAGCAAAACTGTAAAAGTTAGCAGAAAGCCGAGTTAAACAGTAATAGCAGAAAGATACGGAAACATTTTAAAAGTTGAATGGTGTTTCTAGCTGAAAGTATGCTGAAGTAGTTAAAGGTCAAAGATGATGAAGGTTTAGCTGAATTTTGCTGAAATCTAAGAATTCTACATGCATTTCAATGGGACAAAAAAAACGCAGAAAAAGCTGAATATCGCGAAAACTACAAAAAATATCTTTACCAAAAGACATAGCAGAATTCTCCTGAACAAGCTGAACGTTTTGATACCAAAATTGTTGAAATCAGTTGAAAACTGCGGGACTAGTTAGAGTCAGAAAAATTACAAGTGAAAAACAATAAGTGGGAATGCATAAGCATTCCCACTTGACTAGAAAAAGCTGTTTCGGAGAAACATCAAAGTGGGAATGCTTTTGCTGAATGAAAAAAGCTGAAATTAACTGCAGAACATATAAAAATGTGATAGGAAGTCATTAGAAACTTCAAACTGCAGAAAACAATTGAATCATCTGAAGATTTTATAGGGTAGAAACATCTGGCAGTAAAATGGCAGAAACAAACTCATCTTAAAAGCTGCACAGTCAAACCATACATGATATCAAAAAATGTTGATCAGCATAAAGAAAACAGTGTCATCATTTGAGGATTGAAAATTTACAAACCTATGTGCAAGACTAACCATGAGAAGCAGAGGAAGGACAGAGAGAGAAGCTTATAGAAAGAGAGCTAATACCACTTAAGGAGCTGAATTTATAAAAAAAAAAAACTAACCTGCATAATACGAGCCGCTGTGGTGATGAAAGCACAGTTGGCAGGCTTAGGCTGCATGTTACTAGGTTAGCAGATGCTTTATTACAGTGTAAATCTTAGAGCCTTATTAAGAAATGTAAACTGAGGTGTGTGGTCAACAGGCCTTGGTAGTGTAATTTGAAGAAATTGGTTGACTTTGGGTCATAGCTACAAGCCATACTGCACAATGAATGAGTGTGCATAAGGAAGAGGCTTTTATTTTGTAGGGTCCCTTTAGTCTTATTTTGAAAGTCTATCATGGATGTGTGTCAAGGGAAGGGTCATGCCCAGCAGTGATATAGAATCCATTTCTAAATATGAAATCACTGGTTTTCCATGTTATTGGGTGAATAGATAATATATTAGAGCATAAATGGGAGACTTTTATTGTGAAATTCGCTCTGGGGTATGTTGTGAAAAGGTCCCTAGAGTCTAATAGAAACAAGCTGGTAGAGTTTGGGTCATAATTCTGAGCCATTTGCATCAATTAATACACAAGTATAATATAGAGGCTTTTATTTTGTAGGGTCACTGGAGTCTTATTTTGAAAGTCTAGCAGGGTTGTGTGTTGAGAAAAGGGTCAGACCCAGCAGTGATACTTGATGACTTTTCAATCCTTAAATCACTCTTTCCCCCTGTTATTAGGGCAGTAGATGAAGTGGAAATGGGAGGCTTTTATTTTGAAATTTGCTGTGGGGTGTGTTATGAAACCCCCCCTAGAGTATAATTTTAAAAAAGTCGTTGAGTTTGGGTCATAATGTTGAGCCATATGCTGGGAAAAAAATATGAGTTTAATGTAGGGGCTTTTAATTTGAAGGGTCCCCGGAGTCTTATTTTGAAAGTCTATCAGGGTTGCGTGTGAAGGGAAGGGTCATGGCCAGTAGTCATATTGTATCCACTTCCTAATGTTAAATCAGTGTTGTCTCCCTCCATTAGATTAAAATGTGCTGTTTAAAGTGGTGGAGGTAAAATCCTTTGAAGCACGGTTACCTTGACAACGCTTAACGAGCCTGTCAGTGACAGAGAGACATGCGCATCACTTTCGTTCCTTTCCTCTCAGGCTTTTTTGAATGGGAATAGCAGCTTCGAACAAACGAGTGCTGAAGACAAACCGTAAATGGTATCTAAAAAATTCTTTCAGTCTAAGCGAGAGCTATCCTTTGTCTCCAATTGGGATAACGTTCATGGCTGTAGCTCATTCACAGCCTTAATGGGAAGGAGAAATTTAAAGGTTTATAAATCCTGCTGGTCTCATTAAATAACATGGAGTCACATGGTAGAGCAGAGCTCTCAAAAGCAAAACTTTCCCTCCGAACAAACGAGCGGTGAGCCAAAACCGTAATAGGTATTCAAAAAATTCTTTCACCGTGAGCGTCAGCCATCCTTCGGCTTCGACTGTGCCAACTTTCATGTTTCTACTAAAAACTATTTGGCCACGGTGACGATGTAAAAATTTGCATTTTCTGAGTTTGAGGATTTTTCTCAGAATCAGCGTTTTCCTATGCCCGAACAAGTCAGCTAAACAGCTAAACCATAAATGATATTGAAGAAATTCCTTCAATGTGAGTGCTAGAAGGTTCTGAAGATGTTGTATACCAAGTTTCATGTTAGTACATCAGATAGTTAATAAATGGGAGCGATACGAAAATATGTATCGTTTTGGATTTTGTCTGTGATTTTTGGAAAATCTCTCATTGGATCTCTATTGGGGAAGTGTGGACTTCTTCATCGTTTGGGCCAAACTGTCGGAAAACCGTAAATGCCACACAAATGAGGGTTATATTTCCTGAATCCTGACAAAAATTCCTACGTTTTGATGTATAATTTATTTCAATTGAGTTAAAAATGAGGGACTGAGAAGAATTTGTTCGGAAAAACCAGAACAGCTCAAAAGCTAGAGCACGCACTCTAGCAGTTGAAGAATTCTGTCCATAGACTTCCATTATAAATCTGAAAATCTTAAAATTTTCTTTTAAAGTTTGAAGCTTCACTGAAGCAAAACTGTAAAAGTTAGCAGAAAGCCGAGTTAAACAGTAATAGAAGAGAGATACGGAAACATTTTAAAAGTTGAATGGTGTTTCTAGCTGAAAGTATGCTGAAGTAGTTAAAGGTCAAAGATGATGAAGGTTTAGCTGAATTTTGCTGAAATCTAAGAATTCTACATGCATTTCAATGGGACAAAAAAAACGCAGAAAAAGCTGAATATCGCGAAAACTACAAAAAATATCTTTACCAAAAGACATAGCAGAATTCTCCTGAACAAGCTGAACGTTTTGATACCAAAATTGTTGAAATCAGTTGAAAACTGCGGGACTAGTTAGAGTCAGAAAAATTAAAAGTGAAAAACAATAAGTGGGAATGCATAAGCCTTCCCACTTGATAATATTCTCAATCGTCAGTGGAACCACCTCTATTGGCATTAAAGTCATTCTGTTCCAAACATTTGGGCTCATTGCAGTAACAACATGTGGATCATTTCAAATCCTGCAGGTTCTTCTGGAACGGCCATAGCTCTACAGCTGGATGTTCATGTGCAGCTGCACTTGGCGTGCAGCATCTCATTCAGCAGGTTGTTGCAGGTCACCTCACCGCGCAGATGTCTGCGGTGCAGGTAGTCTTCAGCCAGGATGCTCAGAGAGCGGAGCTCAGAAAGACACAGCAGCAGAGAAGGGAAACGGCTGCAGGGCGGAGAGGAGGTGGTCATCATGTACTCCATCAGGGCTCCTTTAACCTGCTGCTGAACTCTATCCACAAACTGCTGTTCTTCAAGGTCCTTCACGTCTGAAGGAGAAAGCAAAGCTGGGATCTGAGGAACTGCTTTCAGCTTCAGACTTTTATCAGCATAAAAGTTGAACTCTTTACTCACCAGGGTTAAACAGGATTAGGAACTTGGTGCATACAAACTCCTGATAATCCACCTTCAGCATCCGAAGCTTCTCCACCAGCTCCGCCCCTCTTTGGGCCAGGCTGGCAAACACAGGGCCACCGTCAGGGATTAGACATGACAGCTCCACCTGAAGCAGGGAATCATCTGCTTCGATCAGGATGAGATCCGGACTTCTCTGAACAAACTGACAGTTCTTACCTCATCCCTCATTTAGATCACAGCTGCACAATAAAAACAGGAAAATTAAACCTATTGTTCTAAAGCAAACCTTTTCCTCTTTCCTTTCTGTCTCCTGTTGTCCAAAGCTTTACTTTAAGATCTCCATCCAGAATGGAATCAGGCTGGTTAAACCCCGGGAGCCCAGGTAACTTCCCTGAATTTTACTGTCATTCAAATAAAATTTAACAGCTCCTGGAAAGTAAATGCTGTCAAACAATAACAGTCCAATAGTCACTGAACAGTCAAAGATCTGGAACATAACAACCATCTGACCAAACAGCCCAGCTTTACCTGCACCTACAGACACTCAATGAACCTTCTTCAGAGGAAAAGTCTCTGGGTCTGATTTATAATCCAGTAAACATTAACCTCATTTGAACTCTGAACAAAAACAAACCGGAAAAGGCAAAGAAGTTCAAAGAGACTCACCTGCTGTCCAGTGATGAGTGGCTGGTCACCATCCGTGCTGTAAAGAACCTTCCTGGAGATTATCTCCAGAACCAGCAGCTCACTCCAGCAGCTCTGCAGCAGCTTCATCTGGTCACAGACCTGAGGACAAAGAACCTGAAAACATCAGAGCGGCTGATGGCTGCTGGTCATTTTAAACTAGAACAGAATAGAACAGAACAGAATAGCCCGTACTAACCCATAGTAACCTTAGTAACCTGTGGTAACCTGTAGAAACCTTTAGTAACCAGTGGTAACCCATAGTAACCTTAGTAACCAGTGGTAACCCGCATTAACCCATAGTAACCAGTGGTAACCCGCATTAACCCATAGTAACCAGTGGTAACCCATAGTAACCTTAGTAACCAGTGGTAACCCATAGTAACCTTAGTAACCAGTGGTAACCGGCATTAACCCATAGTAACCAGTGGTAACCCGCATTAACCCATAGTAACCAGTGGTAACCCGCATTAACCCATAGTAACCTGTAGTAACCCATAGTAACCTTAGTAACCAGTGGTAACCTGTAGAAACCTTTAGTAACCAGTGGTAACCCGCATTAACCCATAGTAACCAGTGGTAACCCATAGTAACCTTAGTAACCTCTGGTAACCTGTAGTAACCCATAGTAACCTTAGTAACCAGTGGTAACCCGTAGTAACCCATAGTAACCTTGGTAAACAGTGGTAACCCATAGTAACCTTAGTAACCAGTGGTAACCCGCAGTAACCCATAGTAACCAGTGGTAACCTGTGGTAACCCATAGTAACCTTAGTAACCAGTGGTAACCTGTAGAAACCTTTAGTAACCAGTGGTAACCCGCATTAACCCATAGTAACCAGTGGTAACCCATAGTAACCTTAGTAACCTCTGGTAACCTGTAGTAACCCATAGTAACCTTAGTAACCAGTGGTAACCCGTAGTAACCCATAGTAACCTTAGTAACCAGTGGTAACCCATAGTAACCTTAGTAACCAGTGGTAACCCGCAGTAACCCATAGTAACCAGTGGTAACCTGTGGTAACCCATAGTAACCTTAGTAACCAGTGGTAACCTGCAGTAACCCATAGTAACCAGTGGTAACCCATAGTAACCTTAGTAACCAGTGGTAACCTGCCGTAACCCATAGTAACCAGTGGTAACCCATAGTAACCTTAGTAAGCAGTGGTATACTGTAGTAGCCTAACCTTAGTAACCAGTGGTAACCCATAGTAACCTTAGTAACCAGTGGTAACCTGCAGTAACCCATAGTAACCAGTGGTAACCCATAGTAACCTTAGTAACCAGTGGTAACATGCAGTAACCCATAGTAACCAGTGGTAACCCATAGTAACCAGTGGTAACCCGCAGTAACCAGTGGTAACCCGCAGTAACCAGTGGTGACCCGTAGTAACCAGTGGTAACCCGCAGTAACCAGTGGTGACCCGTAGTAACCAGTGGTAACCCGCAGTAACCAGTGGTAACCCACAGTAACCAGTGGTGACCCGTAGTAACCAGTGGTAACCCGCAGTAACCAGTGGTGACCCGTAGTAACCAGTGGTAACCCGCAGTAACCAGTGGTAACCCGCAGTAACCAGTGGTGACCCGTAGTAACCAGTGGTAACCCGCAGTAACCAGTGGTAACCCACAGTAACCAGTGGTGACCCGTAGTAACCAGTGGTAACCCGCAGTAACCAGTGGTAACCCGCAGTAACCAGTGGTGACCCGTAGTAACCAGTGGTAACCCGCAGTAACCAGTGGTAACCCGCAGTAACCAGTGGTGACCCGTAGTAACCAGTGGTAACCCGCAGTAACCAGTGGTAACCCGCAGTAACCAGTGGTGACCCGTAGTAACCAGTGTTAACCCATAGTAACCTTAGTAACCAGTGGTAACCTGCAGTAACCCATAGTAACCCGCAGCAACCCATAGTAACCTTCGTAACCAGTGGTAACCCGCAGTAACCAGTGGTAACCCGCAGTAACCAGTGGTAACCCATAGTAACCAGTGGTAACCTTTAGTAACCAGTGGTAACCCGTAGTAACCAGTGGTAACCCGCAGTAACCAGTGGTGACCCGTAGTAACCAGTGGTAACCCGTAGTAATCAGTGGTAACCTTTAGTAACCAGTGGTAACCCGCAGTAACCAGTGGTAACCCGCAGTAACCAGTGGTGACCCGTAGTAACCAGTGGTAACCCATAGTAACCTTAGTAACCAGTGGTAACCTGCAGTAACCCATAGTAACCCGCAGCAACCCATAGTAACCTTAGTAACCAGTGGTAACCCGCAGTAACCAGTGGTAACCCGCAGTAACCAGTGGTAACCCATAGTAACCAGTGGTAACCTTTAGTAACCAGTGGTAACCCGCAGTAACCAGTGGTAACCCGCAGTAACCAGTGGTGACCCGTAGTAACCAGTGGTAACCCGCAGTAACCAGTGGTGACCCGTAGTAACCAGTGGTAACCCGCAGTAACCAGTGGTAACCCGCAGTAACCAGTGGTGACCCGTAGTAACCAGTGGTAACCCATAGTAACCTTAGTAACCAGTGGTAACCTGCAGTAACCCATAGTAACCCGCAGCAACCCATAGTAACCTTAGTAACCAGTGGTAACCCGCAGTAACCAGTGGTAACCCATAGTAACCAGTGGTAACCTTTAGTAACCAGTGGTAACCCGCAGTAACCAGTGGTAACCCGCAGTAACCAGTGGTGACCCGTAGTAACCAGTGGTGACCCGTAGTAATCAGTGGTAACCTTTAGTAACCAGTGGTGACCCGTAGTAACCAGTGGTAACCCGCAGTAACCAGTGGTAACCCGCAGTAACCAGTGGTGACCCGTAGTAACCAGTGGTAACCCATAGTAACCATAGTAACCAGTGGTAACCCGCAGTAACCAGTGGTGACCCGTAGTAACCAGTGGTAACCCGCAGTAACCAGTGGTAACCCGCAGTAACCAGTGGTAACCCATAGTAACCAGTGGTAACCCGCTGTAACCAGTGGTAACCCGCAGTAACCAGTGGTGACCCGTAGTAACCAGTGGTAACCCGTAGTAATCAGTGGTAACCCGCAGTAACCACTGGTAACCCGCAGCAACCCATAGTAACCTTAGTAACCAGTGGTAACCCGCAGTAACCAGTGGTAACCCATAGTAACCAGTGGTAACCCATAGTAACCAGTGGTAACCTTTAGTAACCAGTGGTAACCCGCAGTAACCAGTGGTAACCCGCAGTAACCAGTGGTGACCCGTAGTAACCAGTGGTAACCCGCAGTAACCAGTGGTGACCCGTAGTAACCAGTGGTAACCCGCAGTAACCAGTGGTAACCCGCAGTAACCAGTGGTGACCCGTAGTAACCAGTGGTAACCCATAGTAACCTTAGTAACCAGTGGTAACCTGCAGTAACCCATAGTAACCCGCAGCAACCCATAGTAACCTTAGTAACCAGTGGTAACCCGCAGTAACCAGTGGTAACCCGCAGTAACCAGTGGTAACCCATAGTAACCAGTGGTAACCTTTAGTAACCAGTGGTAACCCGCAGTAACCAGTGGTAACCCGCAGTAACCAGTGGTGACCCGTAGTAACCAGTGGTGACCCGTAGTAATCAGTGGTAACCTTTAGTAACCAGTGGTGACCCGCAGTAACCAGTGGTGACCCGTAGTAACCAGTGGTGACCCGTAGTAATCAGTGGTAACCTTTAGTAACCAGTGGTGACCCGCAGTAACCAGTGGTAACCCGCAGTAACCAGTGGTGACCCGTAGTAACCAGCGGTGACCCGTAGTAATCAGTGGTAACCTTTAGTAACCAGTGGTGACCCGTAGTAACCAGTGGTAACCCGCAGTAACCAGTGGTAACCCGCAGTAACCAGTGGTGACCCGTAGTAACCAGTGGTAACCCGCAGTAACCAGTGGTAACCCGCAGTAACCAGTGGTGACCCGTAGTAACCAGTGGTAACCCATAGTAACCTTAGTAACCAGTGGTAACCTGCAGTAACCCATAGTAACCCGCAGCAACCCATAGTAACCTTAGTAACCAGTGTTAACCCGCAGTAACCAGTGGTAACCCATAGTAACCAGTGGTAACCCATAGTAACCAGTGGTAACCTTTAGTAACCAGTGGTAACCGTAGTAACCGTAGTAAATTGTGGGACCCAGACCGCGGACAGGTCCAGAACCCTGTAGGACCTGCAGTCCTACCTTCAGCTCCTTGAAGAAGATGGAGGTCCGGGCCCACTCCACCAGGGAGCACAGCAGCTGGTCGGCCAGAGCGGATCCTGAAGCCCAGGAGCCGCTCTCTCTGCAGGTGCTGCCCTGCTGCTCAGGTGGATCCCAGCACAGACACCGGATCAGAACCGGGGGCCTCTGACCTTCTGCGGTGACAGCTCTGGGCTCTGGGCCCTGTGGAGAGATGATCCAGGCTGCTCGGTCATTGCGGTGCTCTAACCTCCAGGCCCAGTGAGAAGGAGAGGGGTTCTGGTTCTGTGGATCAGCAGGTGGGCTGCAGGGCAGGGCTGCAGAGGGGGGGATGGTTCTGGGTTGGTGGGTGGAGGGGGGGCTCAGCCTGCTGGCTTGAACCAAAGCTTTCCTCTGCTGCTTGGCGGCGCGGTCCTGCTTGTACATGGGCCCAAACTTGTTTCTTCCTCCTCTCATCCGATCTGCGCGGACAGCTGCAGGGAAACGATCATCTGTCAGTCGGGTTTACAGATTCTGACACAACATCTAACTTTAAAGTAACCTGAGGATCAATAATCTGATAGAAATTATTCAGGTTTGAAGCCGCAAATCCAGGCTTGACCTCCATGTTTGCATTTCTAAAACAAACGCGTGGATGGAAGTAGCTATTAAAGAAAGTTTAAGAGTTTCTGCAGGAATCCTTAAAGCCAAAGCCGAGTTTTTCACTGAAGGAAGACCAGAATAGGAGGAAGGTTCTAATCTCAGTCTGAAACTAGAAATCAGGAGTTAAACTGGGCAGGAAATATTCTCCATGTTTCCACTTTGGTCTCATTCTGCAGCAGAAGCTGGGCTCTGTTCTGATCCAATAGTGCATCTTTCACATTCTGCTCTCCATCTGTTGAATCCTCCCAAAACGATGCCGTCCACCTGAACACAGATGAAACATGTGACATAAAGAACGTCTTCCATCCAGCTTACCTTCCAGACGCATCCCAGCATTCAGACACTTCTGAAACCTGCAGAACGGGCATCTTTTCCTCTGACTTTGATCAATCTGGCACTGCTGCTTTCCCACACAGACGTACGCCTTCTTGTTTTGAACAGTTCGTTTAAAGAATCCCTGCAGAACGAGACGAAGCCGTTAACACAGCACAGCAGGAGAAGAACTATGGCGGGCAGAAAGGTACCTTGCAGCTTTCACAGGTGAGGACGCCGTAGTGGTATCCAGAAACTTTATCTCCACACACCGGGCACAGCTCCTCCACATCCATCACTGAGCTCCAGGAAAACATGGCAGAGAGGAGCCTCCTCTTCTGGGGAGAGGAACAGAGAGGTCATTACCCAACGTTATGCTCTGATTGCAGTCAGTTAAATAGAAACGCAGCATCAGACAGGATACCTACATGAGGTTGAGTTCTCCATGAACGCAGGTATGATTCCAGGATCAGTCAGTGATGGTTCCACCTGTGGAGGAAGGAGCTGAGCTTTCTGCCCTCTCTGTAGATCAGGCCATCAGCCTCTGGAGGAGGGAAGCTGTGGTCGTTCTGATGCCAGGGGGCACGTCTAAGACGTCACCTGGTTACCGCCCCACCTGCTCACCTGGTTCCCTCTCTGTGTCTGAAATGCTTTTAGCTTATTTCTCTTTTACTGCCTCTGGCTTCCTTCCAGCTGATCAGGAAATGGAAAATTAATTCAACATAAAATAATAATGCAAAAAATACATCCAGGAGGAAGATTCTGGAGGAAGATTCTGGAGGCCGCCTGTGGAGCTGGTTGTATCTATGCGTCTTTTTCTATGTCTCCTTGAACCCCAGTGGGCCTCAGCAGATGGCCGCTCACACTGCACTGGAAAAAACGATCTAGAAATAAGTAAAAATGTCTTAAATTAAGTGTATTTATCCTTAATTTCAGTAGTTAAATTAGATTTTTACTCTTAAAATAAGATAATTTGATCATGTGCATTTGCATTTTTTCTTATTTTAAGTGTAAATTGTCTTGTTTCATTAACAAAATGTATGTTTTGCCTCCTCAATCCAAGAACAAACTATTTTTAAGAAAAAAATGACGTGTCTAGATTTCTGTGAGGAGCTATGTGCTGGACCCAGAATGCAGACATCAAGGCTAGGAGAAAGGAGCAACGTTTATTTTTAGGTTCACAGGCAGAGAAGGAAGGAAGGAAACAGGCAGTTGGAGGTGGAAGGGAAGCTCTCTGCAGCAGCTGGAGCAGAGGGAGGAGGGTGGTGTGGCTTGGTAGCTGCAGACTGATTTGGATCTGGATCCTGGGTAGACGCACATAGAGCAATATGTTCAATTTCAAAAGCTGAAGAAATCATTTCCACAAGGGAGAGAAGTTTTCACATCTACCATCTAATGGTGACCATCAGGCAGAGAGTACAGGAAGCCAGGCTTTAAATGCGGCTCCAGATGAGATCAGTTTCAGATGTGTGCAGCCAGCTCCTCCACAGCTGCACCTATCAGAGAGAGAGAGAGCATAACCTAGACTGCACCCAACAGGCCCAGAAACCACAATTTCTATGTTTTCAGCTGTGAGCCTGGTTCCGCTGGAGGTTTCTTCCTGTTTTCCTCTCCACTGTTGCTGCATGCATGCTTGGTGTGAGGGGATTGCTGCAGAGTCAATGAGTCGATGAGATGAGGTGTTGTGAATTGGTGTTGAATTAAAGGGGCAGTGATTGGCCTCCATGTTCTGAATGCTGGCGTACCATAAAGAATAAATGATGAACAGTTTAGTTTGTGCCTTCAAGTCGTTGCCCCTAGGAAGACGTTACTGGATATAACCTAACGGAATATCTTCAGGACGGCTCCAAATGACACTAAACTCATATGGGAGAGTAGAACATGATGGAATAACGGAAAATCAAGGACCAATGGAAAAAAACACGAAATTCCCCTTTAAAGTGATGAATGTTTAGAAGTTAGTGGACAGAAATTAATGTTCTAAGACTAAAGTTAAAGCAACAGAGATTCCAATTTGAAAAAGAGGTTCTGTTAATAAATGTATAAAAACAGACATTAAATAAAGTTATTAATCACACATATTAAAGTGACTTTAGAAGGGACTAAATCATCTCCTCATTCTGTCTTTGGAAACACTTAAAGCTGCTGATTGGCTGATGTCAGACAACTGGACGATGCTATGGGTTGAGCTTTAGTATTAAAGTATGAAAATACTCCATTTTCTGTTATGCATTTTAAAAACAAACAGAAAAGCAGCACCAATAACATTTTCAGGTCCTGTTTCAAATGTCCGCAGGTTGCCTCAGGGTCATGAGGACAGTCTGCAGGAGCAGACGCCCCTCAGGGTTCTGCTGAACATGGTGGCCATGTTTCACCCACTCAGGTTCCTCGTTTACTGGGACGGTTGAAGACTGAGACGGTTCAACCACATCAGCGCTGGATAAGAGTGCAGTACTGCACGCTTCCCGCAGGGGGAGCTGTCGCACCATGGTCAGTGGAAGCTCCAAAGGATGGCTGTGTTCGAATTCATGGGCTGCATCCTCCAAGGACGCGGTCTACCTGGACTGGATCCTTCCAAGTCCTTGAAAATAAGGAGACCGGAAGAGTTTGGGCTGCGGATTCAAAACCCTTCCGGGTTTTCCAACCACCGGGAGCAGGAATAAATCAAATCAAATGTAGGCCTAATGATAGAAACCTTAGTTAAATAACCTGCTGCTGTCATTCTGCACATCTCTGATGTTGCTGCTATTTTAAATTATCCATAACTGTAAAAATGTCCATAGCTGCATATTGGTTATTTATTCTCCAGTTTTATATTGTTAAAACGCTTTACAGTATTTTATTGTTTATATTTTAACTCTTCCCTATTATGTTATTCTTAGACATTTTTCTTAGGTCCACATTTGTGAGACCATTTTCAATAATCTTTCTGCTGCTGTAAATTTGCCCATTGTGGGACAATAAAGAGATTTTAGATTAGATTAGATTAGATGAGCTTTATTGATCTCACAGCGGAGAAATTCACTCGTCACATATTAGCATAGAAGTTACTGAAGGTGCAAACAGGGAGGAAAAAGGTGCATTAAGAATAAGCAATATACACTATATTGCCAAAAGTATTTGCTCACCCATCCAAATTATTGGAATCAGGTGTTCCAATCACTTCCATGGCCACAGGTGTATAAATTCAAGCACCTAGGCATGCAGACTGTTTTTACAAACATTTGTGAAAGAATGGGTCGCTCTCAGGAGCTCAGTGAATTCCAGCGTGGAACTGTGATAGGATGCCACCTGTGCAACAAATCCAGTCGTGAAATTTCCTCGCTCCTAAATATTCCACAGTCAACTGTCAGCTGTATTATAAGAAAATGGAAGTGTTTGGGAACGACAGCAACTCAACCACGAAGTGGTAGGCCACGTAAACTGACGGAGCGGGGTCAGCGGATGCTGACGCGCATAGTGCGAAGAGGTCGCCAACTTTCTGCAGAGTCAATCACTACAGACCTCCAAACTTCATGTGGCCTTCAGATTAGCTCAAGAACAGTGCGCAGAGAGCTTCATGGAATGGGTTTCCATGGTCGAGCAGCTGCATCCAAGCCATACATCACCAAGTGCAATGCAAAGCGTCGGATGCGGTGGTGTAAAGCACGCCGCCACTGGACTCTAGAGCAGTGGAGACGCGTTCTCTGGAGTGACGAATCGCGCTTCTCCATCTGGCAATCTGATGGACGGGTCTGGGTTTGGCGGTTGCCAGGAGAACGGTACTTGTCTGACTGCATTGTGCCAAGTGTAAAGTTTGGTGGAGGGGGGATTATGGTGTGGGGTTGTTTTTCAGGAGCTGGGCTTGGCCCCTTAGTTCCAGTGAAAGGAACTCTGAATGCTTCAGCATACCAAGACATTTTGGACAATTCCATGCTCCCAACTTTGTGGGAACAGTTTGGAGCTGGCCCCTTCCTCTTCCAACATGACTGTGCACCAGTGCACAAAGCAAGGTCCATAAAGACATGGATGACAGAGTCTGGTGTGGATGAACTTGACTGGCCTGCACAGAGTCCTGACCTCAACCCGATAGAACACCTTTGGGATGAATTAGAGCGGAGACTGAGAGCCAGGCCTTCTCGTCCAACATCAGTGTGCGACCTCACAAATGCGCTTCTGGAAGAATGGTCAAAAATTCCCATAAACACACTCCTAAACCTTGTGGACAGCCTTCCCAGAAGAGTTGAAGCTGTTCTAGCTGCAAAGGGTGGACCGACGTCATATTGAACCCTATGGATTAGGAACGGGATGTCACTTAAGCTCATATGTGAGTCAAGGCAGGTGAGCAAATACTTTTGGCAATATAGTGTATATACAGTATATCCAGGTATATACAGTATATCAAGATAAATAGGATTAAGGTGCATGTGTACATGTATCGCACACAATGAAAAACAAAATAAAAATAAGAAATAAAAAAATAAGAAATAAAAATATGTACAATCCGGATGGCTTATATACAGGGGGGAGAAATATTGCACATTCAACATATTGCACAGGATATTGTACAGTCAATAATAAAAATATAGCTGCACAGTGGTTTTTACAGGAGTTACTGTGGTTATAGTGCATTATTATAGAGTCTGGTGGCAGCAGGAATGAATGACCTGCAGTAGCGCTCCTTCTTACAGAAAGGGTCTCTAAGGCTCTGACTAAAGGAGCTGCTCAGCTCCTCTACAGTCTGGTGCAGGGGGTGAGAGGTGGTGTCCATGATGGATGTGAGTTTGGACAGCATCCTAAACAATGTATTTATAAAAAATATATCTGCATAATCTCTAATATTCAAAAAACAA